CATACTCAACTCGGTTTATTGTGGTATTTTTAAGGTGTCTAACTTGATCGGTACAAGCACAAAGAATCTCCTCCTTAACCTGGTCCAAAATTGTACTTTCAACATATTTCAATAAAGCGGGATATTTCTCACACACCTTCCTAAAATGTATAACAACATCAGCATATAGCTCTTTCATATAAGCATTTATTATAATATTCCATGCATCCATAATTTTTCCATGCATCCATAACATTCCATAATTTAACCCGACTTCTCACATTCTTTGTAATGTGATACCTACAAAGTAATATATAAGAACTAGGAAATACCTTTGCAACCGAATTCATTAAAATGGTATCGGGGTCGGTAACAATGACTTTCAACATTTCTTCTTCGTCCTTCAACATTGCCCGGCACACCTCTAAAGCCCAAGCAAAGTTATCCTCTTTTTCGCACTCTAGAAATTCAAACCCGACAGAATAAGTCTTCTCAATAGAGGTAACACCAATAATTTCCAATAATGAAAGCTAATACTTGTTGATCTTATATGTTGAATCAATTATGAGCACAGTGATAAACGTGTTGAACAACTTTATGGAATCAGAATGAGTCCAAAATATATCTCTAACTGTTACTCCATCCTCGCATCTTTGGTGCCTAAATACGTAATTGTTATCATCTAGAAGTTTCAAGAGGTGTTGCATTTCGGTTCTGTCCCCCATAAGCGCTAATTTAGTTTGACAGCGCCTCCTGTGCACTTGCTTGATATTTGCAATATTCTTGGGTGTTTTACACTTCAAGGCTGCAAATATGTTTTTGGGTTGCACCAAATCCAATATCATGCCAAAAACACATTCATTTTTTCCCGACAAGAGATGACATGCAATTGGAGGACAAACTAATTTTTCACACAAATCATGATTATGTAAGCCATATATCACACTAAATTTCCATTTACTATTTGCCAACTGGTAACCACACAGCTTAAATGGACACTCATATTTTCTTGAACAGGTATCTTCTCGTTTGAAATTCCAGAGATAAGGTATATATTTCCCACTTTTTTGCTTGTCAATGTCACAAATGCCCTTATTCTATCTAAACCATTATCAGACCTTTGATTACAATACCAAACCTCAGCTTGGATGCCTCTGTACGAATCCATTGCAGCACATGATCACGATATTCAAACTCTTGTTCATTTTTAAAGTGGTTGTCAATATTTACTTCATTCACTACTACAGGTGAAGAATTCTAAGACACAGTAGGTTTGGAGATAGCATTGGAATGCACCATATCTAATAAAAACAAAAATATTAAATACTTGGAAAATCAGCACAAACAGTTTTCGAAAATGCATCTCCAGAGGAGTTCATATATATTTCGGAGATACACTTTCAAAGACAGCATAACCTTTTTCAGCTTCAAAACATGATTAATGAGAGCAATGAGCGTTGAAATGAATGAACTTTACCTTAAACTTCAACTACTTTTGCTCCTTTTGATTTGATGAAACACAATAATGGAATTTTAAAGTGAAAAACTTGATTGAGAATGAATGAATTTTTGGTGAGGGTTTATGGAGAAAAAAAATGGAAATGAACTCTAATCATGCAGGTGACTGTTTTAAGCGATAATACTTTTGATTTTTACGGAGATGGATCTCCGGAATAACCTAATATACAAAAGTGACAGATTTCTAAATTTCTACTTTAATTTTCCAAAGAAACATCGCCAAATAAATTACATAAATATATATATCCGAAAGAAATTTTTAATGTGTCTTTAGAATAAAACCATTTTTGTTCGTTTGTATGTGATACATAAAGTACATTCAAAGATATATTTTCAAAAATAGATAAATATTTTCGTTTCGATTTTGCATAAGGTTCTTTTACACTATAAATAATGTAAGAGTTTCCCTTAACTTATATGCATGTTTACTACCAAGCATATCTGTGACTTTTCAATTCGTAACAATCATAACTTTAAGTTAGAGACAAATATTCCGTTCGACATTTTAACAAAATGTCTCGTTTTTAGTTTTTTTTATAACATCAAATATTTCTTCCTATTATACTATTAACTTAAGTTATTATAATAGTGCTTATTTTGATGTAAATGATACTGTAACAAATAAATGGTAGATTATGAAATTCAAAATACTACATATTCAAAATTTTAATTTATTAATTGATGCACCATTAGCTCTTTACGTTACTCGTGAGGAATTAACATGTCACCTTCTTATATATAGCACCTCTTTTAAATAGTATAAAAATACTAAATTATTCAAACTCAAATATTTTTTATAAGATGGTTTCAGAGTCACATCCTCTCAGCTCCTCCCGTGACTCCATCTGATGGCATTAATAGATGGTTTCAGAGTCACATGTTCAACTCCTCCCGTGAGATAATGGATACAGTCGTTGAGGTTCAGCGTCCTGGACAATATAAGAATGAATATCTGAAGTGGTTTCACAGTATGTCACACTCTCGGATCATACCACCGACTGCAGCATATGATGTTCTGGGCCTTCAAGTGCGAGGGTTTCTGTCGAGCCTCCACCACCACCTCCACCTCTCTTAGGTGACCAGAACAGTCGTCTACAGTTTATTGCTGTTCATTTAGATAACCTCATGGGTTTGGTAAATTCTGACGGCGAGGTCTATATTAGTTTAGCTAAGTTAGCCGACTTAGCTTGTGGAAGGCCTATGTAGATTTATTTTATTATGGTTGTATTATATGTATATTTTGTGACACACAAACATTTTATTTATTGCATAATATTTTGGCGATTATATATTTCGATTCGATGATGAGCATAACATAGTACAACAAACATAACCTTAAAACAACTAAACATAAAAACTTAAGCACTACCCGATGACTCTGGATGTTTCAACATCTTCATTATGTCATCGACGGATCTTCGGATCTCCGCATCCAACTCGATCAGACCTTTAGTTATCTTACAAGAAAATGATTTTCACATAGTTTTCACATATGCATCATTCTTCAACTCGATTAGGTTGTATTTCACCCTTCTATTTATATCAGCCAATCCTCCCCAAACTCGACCTTTGTCACTCTTCTGTTATCGGAATCAGGCAGCAAACCATTCAACGTTTCTTTCAAAGTGCCACGTAAATTTAAAATTTCTGATTTACTAAAAATTTCAAATGCACTACCAGAAATTTACACTTATCAGAAATTTGGTAGGGATGTACTGAAAATTTGTTTCATATCGTAAATTTCATCCCTTCTATCAGAAATTTCGTCCGTAATTGTTTGTATCTCATCAAGGACAAAACTGGAATAAAAAAATTGGGAGGTGGCATATTAGTTCCTCCTATCCCGTGCACCCACCCTAAAAGTTAGAAGTTTAAATTCACACCCCCGCTTGAACTTGACACCCCTAAAGTGGATGAAAAGACTAAAATAGTTCAATCAAGATTTTTCACACATTTTTGAAATTTCTGGTACCACACCAAAAATTTTAAATTTACAAAGTGATATCAAAGATTTCGTGGACGTACCGGAAATTTCGTGAAAGAGTAAGAATTTACGATATTTTATGCCAAATTTTCTATATTTTGTCACAGAAATTTAAAATTTTCTGATATTTCGTGCCAGAAATTTGTAAATTTCCGATGATTTTGTTACGTTATATACCAGAATTTCTCGGTGTTCATTTTGTGTATAAAAAATTTTTAAACTTCCGATAGTTAATTTTTTTTTTAAATATCAAAAATTTAGAAATTTACGATAGTTCAATCTTTTTAAAATTGCTTTCTTTATTTGTTCAGGGAGGACTAGAAAAAAGACGGTACCGTTGCGAACAAGCAGACCGATAGAGCAGAAGTTCAGACCCGAACTGATGAAGCACAGACTTTTGAACTACGTGCAAGACGACGTCCTCTGAACGATTCCTCATCGAAAACAATTAACTGAGCAACAGACGCGGTTCTACGCACCCCATCAACAGACTGCTAGAATTTCCAATGCAATAAGAATCCTCCAAAGTTGTCGACAAAATACTAATCATTAAAAAAACTTGAATTATGAAACTACCCGAAATTTCAGTATATTTGAAATTTCTAGTATTGTCTCGTAAATTTGAAATTTATGATATACCGGAAATTTCATATGAATTGCCAAAAATTGTTAAGTACCAGAATTTTAGTACTGATCTACCAAAAATTTCCTCAGTATCGAAAATTTCGCTTGTTCTACCAAAAATTTCAAAAATTTCGTCCGAAAATCTTCTCAAATTAGCAAAGGCATTTCAAAAATAACAAAAATTAGGGAGTCTCAGATTTAAGTGGGGGGTGTCAAGTTAAAACCACTAAAAACCAATTGGAGATAATTATTGAACACCCATCACCAACCCTAGAAACAGTAAGTTTTTTCATCAAAATAAAATAGAGTTTGTGTATTCAAATCTTCGTATTTATAATTTCTTCATCCCATCAAAAACCAATAATTAAATTAAATAGTAACATAGCATTTAACATAAATTAATCAATACAACTTATATTATATTTTTAAAACTTAATGTGTAATAAGACTAATAACTACATTAGTAACTTCGTGATTTTGAGAAGGTCGAACAGGGAGGGGTGGGGTGTGTATCAACACCCCTGCCCCCCGCCTCACCCCCATTTTTAAAAGTTAGATTTTCCCCCACCCCCACCCCAATTACACCGGTTTTTCCCGTTGAATATGGGGCGATGTCGGCCGGTCTGGTCGGGGTTGGATTTTGTTGCCAGGAGGAATTGGTTTTGTTTAAATAACAATATACATGAATGAAGAGAGGTAACTGTAACTCATGTCCTCAATAATTAATAAAAGAATTTCGGAATGAACTAATACAGAACAATGATTCTCGCCTGTTCAATGAACCTCAACACACCAAAATTTTTGACAATCTTTGGTTTCCCTGGTGCTGCCAACCATGCTGATTATGTTCCGATATGATAGATAAATGTAGCAAGAGCTTCTGGTATCCTTTTACTCAAAAACCATCATATGCATCGTCCCCATAGTATGTCTCATCATAATCATTTTCTGGATACAAAGTATCATTGTATTCTCCATTCATATCATCATTCTCCACGTATTCGTCGACCGATTCATAATCATCCTTCTTTGTTTTGTGGTCTGACTTCAATTCCAAATTATCATCATCCTTTGAGGGCAACTCAAATCGTACTTTCTTGCGATTTTGTGGAGATGCCTGTTTATAACAATTTGTACCATAGAAGAAAGTGAGTATTTCCCCTTTTTTTCTTTAAAATGGTTTATTCTTCTCTTCAAGAGACAACTTTTATAAACACAGTTGTAATTAATGTCATGTATATACTGCAAAATGGTACTATAAACACAATGAGAAGTGCTATACAACTTATGATTATACATACCAAACTATCGAGTAAATAAATATTGAGATAGCAAAAACAGGTAAAGGAGAGAATTACAGGTTCATCAAATAATTTCTTCAAGGAATCATGATTGACTTTGGAGCTGAGTTTCTGCAAATGCAAAAAGGTATCATTAATAATATAACCAACATTTTCAGAAGATTCTAGGTAGCCCAATCAACGAATCATATTTATTGTACAAAATGAAATATGTAACACATATAACAAGTATGAATGTGGCATCATCACATATGCAACACAAAAGAAAGATAAAAGTAACACTTAACCCTAACTTCCAAGAGCTATCTTCTTTATTATATTTGTGCAAACTCGGAAATGGCTATACATCTCACTGTTGCACTTCCATTTCTTTAAAATAAAAAACTCACAGGGTGTGGGTGTCGTCGTCAAGCATGGATAGAGAGTATAGGTGCACCAGTGCTAATTTTTTTTAATCACGTTGATATTTGAGTTATGAGTAGTGATAGAGCTACAGAAGTCCTACTTAAAAGACAATGGAGTCAAAGTTTTCTACAGTTTTAAACACCCAACACATTTAGCCCCGAAAATCATTCATATAATTATCTTTGAGTTTCATAATTTAGACTAGGGACATAGATAGAATATGACTGAATATTTCATGAGCCTAATCTCGTGAAAATTGAACTAGCCAAACAAGACCTACTCAAATAATGATCATAGGTTTCAGAAACTATTAGGACACATTAAAAATGACCTATTCAAATAATGATCATAGGTTTCAGAAACTATTAGGACACATTAAAAAATATTACTATTAGTAAAACTACATATAAGGAGATAAAGACGCTTCACTAAAAAATAAAATGTATCAAAACAAAAGCGTGGGCATCATAATAATTATTGTGTTTAATAAACAAATTGTCTCATTTGTCTGTTTTTCTAATAAAATACCTTTGTTTGCAACATTCGGGTCGTTGCCTCTACAGCAGATTTAGCAGGACCCAAACTTTTTGCCTCTTGAGCTCGTTTCTGCCTCATTTCCTACAAATAAGCAGAGTAATAATATTTTTAAGAGTTTTATGACTTCTATGCCAGGTCACCGTTTATGCTGCATAGTTGTACTATGAAGGAAAAATAATAAAACTAAGAACCCATATGCTAGAAAACACACCGCTTTACCAATTGAGACACTTTTACAGATGCTCAATCATTATGTGATCATCATCGATTCAGTATATTTGTGACACGTTAGTGTTATAGTGATATTGTTATAATGCAAGTGTTTGGATACTTACCAGTACTGTTTAGGTAACAGACTAGAATACCAATAAACAAGTACAGTGCACAGGTAAGGGTAAATCACTCAGTAATAAGACTCTAGTAGTTTCATTTCACACACACAGGAGACACACCAGAAAACTAATTCCAAAGTTACCTTTCTAGCTTTTGCCACAGCTTCAGCAGCAGATGCAGCAAGCTCTCTTGCTGCACGAGATTCAGGAGAACAATTTTTTAATTCTTCCTCTAATTTTTTCATTTCAGCTGCTACAGCTGCTTCCTTGATAGCTTGTTCCTGCAAGAGAATGGAAGGTGGAGTGAAATCCAGTCCACATTAATTTTCCACACAAGTCAGACTCTGAAATCGCAAATCAGGGGAAGACACAATGCAAGCATGTACCCACTTCAGATTTAAGGTAATGAATGATTGAATGTAGAAAGAAAAAAAACTTCAGTACCTCAAGATACTCTCGATTATTAAATTCCCATATCTCTTTTTTGTAACGCTTTTCCTCCTCATTGTGAAGGTAGCCATCAACCTATGCAGCATACAAGGGACAGTCAGAACGATAGCAGGTCACACACTGTAGCAGGTCACACATTGTAACCGATAGCAAGTCACAAAATGACACAAGTACTTAAAATAATTGACAAATTGCAAAATTGTCGAGAACTTAATAAAAATAGAAGATTAAAATTTACTAGGGATTTAAATCAAGCTACAAGAAGAATAAGATCTCAACATTGATTCAACATCCCGAATCTTCTAGAGAATAAAAAATAATGATAAATATTTAGGAAGACGAGAGCACAAATGCAAGAACAAATGGGATTATTGCTATTAAAAGTCGGCTGTAAAACCAGGGTTTGTTGCTAGATCCCTAACTTGTTCAACTAGGGATTTAAATCAAGTAACGAGAAGAATAAGATCTCAATATTGATTCAACATCCCGAATCTTCTAGAGAATAAAAAATAATGATAAATATTAGGGAAGACGAGCACGAATGCAAGAACAAGAAATGGGAATATTGCTGTTAAAAGTCAGCTATAAAAGCAGTGTTTGCTTCTAGATCCCTTACTCGATCAACTTGCAAGTAATAAAATTTTGCTATCAAGCAAAATTCTGAATACCACAAAAATTGGGGGTTTATATAAGGGAGAAAGACAGCAGCGACATCAAAAAGTAGATTTAAATATCTAGTATCCAATGGTCTTCACAAAAGAGTGGAAGGTATCACAATAAATAACATGATAATCATCAAAACATTTTACAACTACTGCATGGATCAAACTACGACATAATTTTCATCTCTACAAATAGACCATTCATATTTAACTCTTTTGATAGTTTATTCGCATGGATTCGATCCTATGGCTAACATCTTCCTATATCTCCCTGTCATTTCGTATGATGGACTCGAGGTTTAGATTCCTATTAATGAAGTGGTCATATCTCACAGCCATAGTTGTAGCACCACTTACAAAAAAACCCTGATAATATTTTTCAAGAACATTGAACAAAAAAAGACAATCAGAAAATCTCAATCTTTTGTTTTCTAAAAGAAATCAAATTTAATGCAAGGGAGTTTCAGATTAACACTATGTTCATATGTTAAGATAGCCAAAAACAGAGAAAAAATTGGGATTAAGATGATATTTGGGACTAAGGAATTTGGAAATTTTGGTTTAGCTCAAATGTGTACAAAAAAAAATAAAACAATTTTTCTGAAAAACATTCAAAGAAAATATGCCAAAAGACAGGAAAAGACCCTTTTTTAGCCCCAAAAATAAGCTAACCCCGCACACAGTAGGCAAATATATATTTAGACACCCCCAAGGCATAATCTATCTTCCCACATAGACTTACATTACTTTGTTCCATTTAGACCATTTGAGAATATTGATATTTCACATAGATTTTTCTATCAATTATAATAAACAAACATATGCTAAGCAGGGAACTTGTTAATCACCTCCTGATCATCAATATCAGAGAGACTTTCTGATTCATCTTGAGTTTTTGTATTCATATCACCTTCTATATGTGACTTATCATGCTCAACATCCTTAGTGGCCATATATTCTTCATCACCCCCTGAAACAATATCAAGCAAACTAGATTTAAAATTTGTAAGCTGAGAAATTATACTAGCCTTCATTAAGAGAAATAAAAGCACCCACCAATAATACTTTTAGGCTCAGAGGCAGCAGGTAACTCTAGTTGGCTCTCGTATGCACCATTTGAAACCTTTGCCAACTAATCAATAGTACAAACAAACAAACAAAAAACACAATTGTTAAATTGTGTTAGTTGATGGTTCTTTGATGATGGGATAGGTGTTAGATGCTCACATGTGGTTTGATACCTGAACATGTTCATGTAACTAACATGCTAAAAGTTTATTCTTGCAGAAGATAAGTAGACCACGGGTTTACATATGTTCATGGTAGTAACAAGTCAATGCTAAAGTCCACTTAAAGTAATATGACCTATAAAGCACTGACATAGATACGGACACAAGATACGACACCAACACTAACACAATGATAATAATTTAAGAAAAATACAAGTGATTGAATGTAACCATGTGTGTTTGTGTTGTATGGGGGTCAGACACCAACACGTGTCAAACACTCGCGCCTTCAAGGCGTGTCGGATACCGACACATGTCAAACACTCACGCCTTCAAGGCACTTGGTACTCACTTTATCAAGGGAACATTCATCGAAGACTATAGTACCTACAAATCTTATTAGTACTTGAAAAGGTTCTGAAGTTTGTGCCTTTGTGATGCTGACAAAAGTAAATGCATAATGCCATGAACACTAGTTGTACTTACATCTTCCAATTTATTAGCATTCTCCTCAGAATGTGACTTTATCATTCTATCCCTCTCAGCACGCTGGAAAGCAGGAGGATCTAAACCACCATCAAGTCCACCAGAGAGTGTATCAAACTGTAATAACCAGTAGAACAATAAATGGTAAGAGTAAGTAGTTAAGTAAAAGACAAAAGTAATGCATGCAGAAGAAATTACTCACCTCCCTGTAACATGCTTCACATAATCCAAGTGCAAAATAGGGCATTCCACTACCCTTGTGTTCACACAGTAGTTCTTGATCCTCTGAAGTACATTTGTTTCGTTCACCATTTGGTATTTTAATTGGAGTTTTTTCATGCTCTTTTGCCATTGCATTCAACTCATCAATCTGTAACCATAACATATTGATGAAATTTTTTATTAACTTTTAAAACATTTAAAACGAATAAACGTGAAAAAGAAAAAGAAAGAGGCCATGAACTGATGAAGTACAATACATCAAAACTGAATTGAACATAAATGTCTTATATTTTCAGCTCAAAAAAGGTGAACTTGAGGTCTAAGATAGATATGTACAATGAGCTTTACACTTAACATCGTTTAGGGTTTAAGGTTTAAGATAGATATGTACAACGGGATTTACACTTAGCAGCTAATACACACTCGGTAAACTTAAAATGTTCATTAATCAAATCTTGGAGCATTACAAATATGAAGATGCATCAAACAAACATTCAAATTTCAGATAACATTCAAACTTCAGATATTTAAGGTTTGTGGCAAGAGCATCAATTGTGAGTTACACAATTTCCAATAAAAAGTTTCTACATTTAGCTCTTATGTGCCCTAAGGGCACATGTTAGCATTACCCTATATATATCAATTAGAAGCATTATTTGATATTATTAACTACAGATTGTAAAACTGTATAATTAGCATACAATGATTGTAATAATCCCAACATTAATATATAGCCACACAAATCAGCACTAATTAGATTGCCCTGATTCCTGAATGCTTTTTCTAAATGGTCGTCCTTATTGCTCTTAAACTGGTATCAGAGAGGTTTTTGACTCATTTCTCGCTATAAATCCCCAAATCAATTTTTCTTTTCTATTTGTTCACCTTACAAGCATTTTTCCTTTTAAATAATTAGAGCATTCATTTAAATAATAAAGAAACTTTTTTTTAACGAAAATCCAAAATTAAAAAAAATAAATAAAAAATACTCCTGCTTCAAGAAAGGAGAAATAACTGCAATAAGGTGCACAAATAAATAACCAGCCAAAATAAGTAACACCAGAAGTTGAATCCAAAAAACTGTAGCACAAAAATATTAAGAGCAGTCAGGAGCTTATGCCCTTTCATCAATCGATTTGGAACATCTAAGCAAAAACAAGATATGCTCATGCTCATTCAGATTACTCAGTTAACCATTGTCTCATCTAACTGTGTAACAAATTACTTATGAAAGAGAGGCATTGTAACATTATTACATACCTAACAAATCACTTAATTCATTATTGACTTTGTTTTTCTTTTTAAAAGGGTTAAGTAAAATTTACATGCACCATTTTAGAAGCAGAGAAAGAAAAAAAAGATGCACAAAATGTTGATTAACAATCATATTTATAAGTCACAACAACAGGATATAAGGTACAACAGAGCAATATACAGAACATACATCAAATCCATAGAACTTATTTCAAACTAATTTGTCTGGCACGATACCATCATAAAACTAATATTTATAAGTCACAACAGGATATAAGGTACAACAGAGCAATATACAGAACATACATCAATCCATAGAACTTATTTCAAACTAATTTGTCTGGCATGATACCATCATAAAACTAACATTTTAACAGAATAACCAGGTATAAGAAACATACTGTCAGACTGGAGGATTCTGTATTCTCAAACTCTACCAGCCGCTTGGTCAATGTTGCTTCACATACATGGACGATTCTTAGCTGCATTGCAAATTAGCAAATCCAATCAAGCATTATACAAGACAACTAGAGTTTTTTTTTAAATCCAAAATTCTATTTTTTTTCACTATGCTGCTACATCTGCTAGCAAAAATTGAAATAGCGTATAGCGTAATAGAAAAAGCTAGGATGGTGTCCGCAAATCCTAGCTCAACTGGCAGAAACTAGTATTGATAGATTGGACGTCATCATCAAGGTTCGAACCTTGATACTCACGGTTGTGTGTGTGAGTTTCTAGTGGTTATTACCACTTTTCTAATCCAAAAAAAAACTAGGATGGTGTCAAACTTTTCATAGTGATTCATCAAAATAAGCTACGTTATACTCCTACTGCGCTGCTATCACCGCTCTTTGACAGCACTTGTGGAAGTGGAAACACCCTTGAGCTAAAAATGCACATGAGCATAACACCAATGACAAACCATAAACACAATCTTCCACGTTATAAGCTTAGGCAAAATAAACAAATTTAAAACTGTGTAATGGGAGAAATACACAAGAAAGCTGTATAAAACCAACATAGCTACAATCAATATTATCAAGGGAGAGAAAGAAAGAAAATACAATAACAGTCTGGAGAAATGAATCAAGGATAATAAATATAAATTCTCTTCAGGGAAGGAAAAAAAAGGAAGAATAAGAAAGCCTATAAATGTGTATCTCTGAATACAGTTCGTTGGCATTTTAATTGGCTAGTTATTTGCTGTGCTGAGCAATCAGTTCAGAGTTTAAGCTTATGCCAGGCAGCTGTACTGAGAATTTAATCGTGTAATGTTGTAACCACTGTAACATTTAATTGCAAGTGTAGCTTCAGAATCTGTTCTAACAGAATCTGACAGCCATAATCACCTACCTTGCAATTACAATCCATGTGATATCTATATTAATCACTTTGCAATTACAAATCCATGTGATCTCTATATATAAATACCTCATCACGTTAAATCAGATTTATCGTTTATCATGCAATTCTCACAACATAATTATTGCATTTTTTATCTTTTTCCCTCACTTCCTCACTGTATAACTGTCGAATAAAGCCTTTGTAGAAAATGAGAGCAAAGGAGAAAAGAAACTTAAATGATATACAACACCCCAAGCATTTTCTTGACAAGATCCAACAAAGAGTAGTAATAAAATTAAGAACAAGGCAGAAACCGAAACCTTAACTTACAATATCTGACTTAGAGCATGTAAAACCATGTGCAAGAGCAGACATGTATAATGCTGCACCACATAATCCGCTAGGCTTCCTCCCTGTCTGTTTTTCGAACATTAACAATATCATCATGACACAAAGAACAATCATCATTTCGCAAAAACAATAAGAGCTAAGAAAAATGCTAGATCAACATCAAGGTACCTGCATCCAGTCACGTTTCATGCTGGCAATAATATTCAGTGCAGTTTCCGAGACAGCCACATTCCTTTGCTTTAACAAATCTACATGAAAATCATTCTAATTATGTTTTTTTTACTTGAGATAAAATTGTTGAATGAGAGAAAACGAAAGATATATACTCTTAGAATGTGAGTTAGACCTGACTTAACCCTACAAAACCGGCTTGTACGGTGAAGATTACCCCCACTTATAAATAGATGTAAGGTCATATATTGTCCAATGTGGGACTCTTAACACACAAAATTGAGAGAAAATTGTTGAATGAGAGAAAACGAAAGATATATACTCTTAGAATGTGAGTTAGACCTGACTTAACCCTTCAAAACCGGCTTGTACGGTGAAGATTACCCCCACTTATAAATAGATGTACAGGTCATATATTGTCCAATGTGGGACTCTTAACACACAAAATTGAGAGAAAATTGTTGAATGAGAGAAAATGAAAGAAATATACTCTTAGAATGTGAGTTGGGCCTAACTTAACCCTACAAAACCGGCTTGTAGGGTGAGTATTGCCTCCACTTATAAATACATGTACATATCATATATTGTCCGTGTGAACTCTTAACACACCCCCTCACACTCAGGATTGAACATCTGGAACATGGAAATAAATGGTGGGTGGCCCGATAGCGGAAACCTGATAAATAGGTGGTCTACCGGATCTTAAACGAGGCTCTGATACCATCTGAGGAAATCAACGTAGCTTGGCGTAGAGCTCTGAAGAGAAGGTGAGGTCTGTAGAGTGTATGAGTGATTGATTTGAGCTGCATTCACCTGGCGTGGAGGTTTGCCATGCAACTTCAAACAACAGTCAATAGTATGCCCAAACCGGTTACAACGGTCACACTTGAGACAGGGTTTGGAGTTGGATGACCCTCCTCGAATGTGATTTTGATTGTTGCCAAGGGACACAAGGGCAGCAGTGTCACTTGGGATTGGGGAAGCAATAGATGGAAGGGAGACCGGACCAAAAGCATGAGGTGTAGCCAAACGCAACACTTGTTCACTAACTGTGTCATAGTTAGGAACAGTAATACTTGATAAAATCTGGTTACGAACGAACTCGAGTTCTAATGGTAGTCCGATAAGTGTCATGACCATGAAGAACTTACTTCGTTGTTCGTCATGAGTTGTTGCATCTTTTGTATAAGGCATTAGGGTTGCGTAATTTGCTTTCAAGGCATCAAGCTTACTCAAATAGGCTTACATATCCATATTCTACGACTTCAGAGAGTTGAGTTTGAGGAGGCATTGTATAGACAATGAACACGTTGGAGAAGACTTTCTTAGCTTTTTCCCATACCTCATAGCAAGTGGTGAAGGCTTGATATTGTGCTTGGAGATTAGGTGCTATAGAATACCATAACACAGTGCATAGAGAGGCATCGATTTGTTTCCATTTAGTGAGTTTGTCGGCGGCAACAACATCCAATTTTGGGGTTAGGTGATCTAACCCTTGACCGTGAAACCACGTCTTGACAGCACTAGCCCTTATGTTGGAGTTGGTTGTCCCGGTTAGTTTTTCACATGGGATAAGCGGAATACCATAACACAGTGCATAAAGAGGCATCGGTTTGTTTCCATTTAGTGAGTTTGTCGGCGGCAACAGCATCCAATTTTGGGGTTAGGTGATCTTCAAACCCTTGACCGTGAAACCACGTCTTGATAGCATCAGCCCATAAGTTGTAGTTGGTTGTTCCGGTTAGTTTTTCACATGGGATAAGTGGAACTTTGGTAAACGAGTCTCCAATTGCTTGAAAATATCATAAAATCATATTTTTGCAAAACTCATAAACATTCAATTACACCAAAGTTCTATTATATAGACTCTGGAGTAAATCAATATACAATCAGCAGCATCAATACAAGAGAATATGCTAGAATATATTTACAAGATATTCATATACTTATATATCAACACTTCCCCCAAGCGGAAGCAGATCAATCAAATGCATCAAGTTCGTTACATATATAACTGATTCTAGGACCTCGGGGTGATTTTGTGAAAACATCCGCCAATTGATCATTGGAATTGAGAAAGCTTGTGACATTGTCGCCTAACTAAATATTCTCTCTGACAAAATGACAATTTACCTCAATATGCTTGGTCATCTCATGGAAGATTGGATTTTAGGTCATATGTAATGCGGCTTGATTATCACAAAATTAGTGTCATTGGTCTTCCCTCTTCAAATTGTAGCTTGTTAAATAACTATTTCAACCAAATGAACTCACATGTTACTAATGTCATAGTTACTAATGTCATAGTCCTGGATTCTGCCTCAGTGTTGGATCTGCAAACTACATTTAGTTTTTTACTTTTTCCAAAATACCAAATTTTCTCCAACTAGTACGCAATAACTAGAGGTGGATTGTCTATCATGGGCGAATATACCCAATCAGATCTGAGCGACCAACTATCTGAACATGTCATCTATTTTCATAAATGAGACCACCTTTGACGCATTTCAGAATCTAGATTACAACATCCAAGTGTTCTTTCTTGAAAAATTTAAGAACTTACTTACCACACTGACTGCAAAGGAAATGTCTAGACAAATGACTGTGAGATAGTTCAATTTCCCAACTAATCTTCTATAACTCCCGAATTTGATAGAGGCTTCCCGAATCTGATAGAGGTTTGACATTGGTAGGACAAATATTCTCTGGCACTATCACTACTTATCACTATGCAAAGATCAAATAGACACATTGATAAAGCAGAGGATACACTACACGTCATTAATACAAGGAGACATTTGCTTCTGGGAAAAAATGAATACTATTTGAATGTTACTATCTCTTGTTGGCCAATTTTCAAGTGGGATTGAGGTTAAAAATGTGTTTTTGCATGGCAGCCTAGAGGAGGAAGTGAAATGGAATAGCATTCAGAAATAGACTTACTACGCTTACGGTAGATATAACATCAGGCCAAGCAACTGTAAGGTAATTAAGTTTTTCAACAAGGCAACATCTACCATGGGGAGTATCACTTGGTCGTTAATCAAGCATGTTGGTTTTGTCAGGTATATCAATAGCATAGGAGTATTATCATTAAGGCTTGGTTCCCCCAACCTGTAATAACTTCACGTTGAGATCCATAGGAGTATCCCTTGCTAGTGTTACTTTGGCCTTATGGATCGCAAACCAAATGTAAAGAAGGCATTGGAACTAGATTGCATGGGTCCCACACACAGAGAAGTTGGTGTGCTGCGGTGCATGAGAAGGCGAGTTATGGAGAAGAAAAGCATTGTTTACTCGCGCATTGAGGGGGAAAAGGTCGCAAGGATTGAACCATTACTTATACCATGTAATTTTCTTAATTTTTGTGTCTAATTAGACTACATAAGGATGTATTTATAGTGTATCTAGAATAAATACACATTAATGCAATTGCTAATTCCAATCCCATTAGCAACTAATTTGGGATGGTAAAAACAATTTATAATTTACACGTGACTAATTCTAACAATTTGTATAGACTGTAATCCGCCAGTTAATTTGGCTCATTAAGTATAGTATAGTCTATTTAAACAGTTTATAGATTGTATTCTAATCACTTCAGAAATAATATTCAGAAAATTACTCTCCAATTCTACAACTCTATTGACAACATTATACAAATCATATTTTAATTGTATGATTAAACGAATAAAACTTAAAAAAGGTACTTACTATTTGTAAATTTGTAAATAAAAAGACTGGGATCAACAAGCTTTTGAACAATCGGGTGATTTTCAAGCCTTAGCACTTTACAAAGCTGCAAAAAAACTGCGCCGAGCACATAACTGCATGACAGACATTGAAGAGAACAAATTAAACATTAAAAAACACAAAAGTTGAAATCAGCCAAAGATAAAAATAGTATTAATGCATACTCACACATTTGTCCTTAAAGAATTTGAAAAATCAATAAGAAGGTATGGCTTATTTTTATCCCTGCAAGAAATATAATTTTAGCATTAAAATGAATGTCAATAATTTGGAGATGGTAAGATTAGTCATTTGATGATATCATCATTGAATAAAAAAAGTCCCATAAAGCAAATGCTGCATCTGAAGTTAGGAGCAACAGTCACAAAACACTGCCGACCATCATTTACTACTCACTGACTAATCATAATCATTTCACTAATAATATCCTTGGAAAAAATTTGCTAACTAACAATGTTTTTCAGTTTTTAACCGCCGTCCCAAAGCACAGTCTGATGTAGGAAGGCTGGCCTCGCGTATCGAAGAAGAAATCGTGCGTCAGAAAGCATTTTAATATTTAAGCAATTTTTGTTTTAATATTTAAGCAATTTCTATTTTATTTGTTTTATTTAATTTTGTTTTGGATTAAAGGCCCATTAGAATTTTTTGTTTTCTATATTTAAAGACCTTTGGCTTGGCCATACGGATTATCTTTCATTATGTTGAAGATCAGCAAAGAATCTGTTGTGCAGATTCTATTTTGTATATATCATAACTGCAGCTTTATGTAAATTAATTAGCTGTGTGTTTTGTCTTTATCACATTTAATCTTAGCATTTATAGGAGTAATTATTCTCTTAATTTCTAGGCTAAATTAGCTCATCCCTCTCAGTCGTATGTACTATATATACATCTTATGTATTATCAATCAGATATGAAATATACAAACATATTTGTACATGGTATCAAAGCACGATCTGAACCATCCGTAAATTAGCGTCATCAAACCATGGACGACTCAAAAATTAACACATCACTCAAGATGGAGACTGGATCTTTTCAAACCAGCTCACACGACGGAAAATCCCGTCCCTTGTGTGATCATTGCAAGAGGCCCTGCCACACCAAGGAAACATGTTCGATCATACATGGAAAACCTTTGGAAGCCAATCAGTTCAAAAGGAAGGAAGAAAAAGGTAACACAACCTTTAACCATCGAGAAGTCGAGGTAAATTCTAACTCATCTCCATTCAGCCAAGAACAAATGGAGGAAATTGAAAAACTCCTTCAGCAGACTATGCTATCTGTAGAAAAAGTTGGTACTACTAATGTTGCCCAAAAAGGTAATTATCTATATGCTTTAAACACTAGAAAAGAAGAAACAAAGTCACGGATCATTGACTCAGGAACTTTAGATCACGTGACTGGAGATTTTACGTTGTTTAGTAGTTATTCTCCTTGCTCCTATAACTATACTTGTCGGATAGCTGATGGGACTCATTCTAAGGTAATGGGTAAGGGATCAATTATTATTTCTCAAAATATTACTCTTGACTCGGTTTTATATGTGCCAAAACTCGATTGTAACTTGTTGTCCATTAGTAATATTACCCGAGATTTGAAATGTGTTGCTACATTCTTCCCTAATTCGTGTGAATTTCAGATTTTGGAGTCGGAGAAGAAGATTGGCAATGCTGAAGAGTGTGTGGGACTCTACCTCCTACAAGTTGAAAAAAAAAACATAAGAAAAATCCAAGGAGCTCTCTTATGTGGCAGCAACGGTTCAAAATAGTAAGAATTCTATAATGTTGTGGCACTATAGATTAGGCCACTCAAGTTTCAGGTACTTGGAAAAGATTTTTCCCTATAAAAACTAGAAGCAGTTTCAGTGTGAAATTTGCCAATTGTCTAAACATACCCGCAACCATTACCCGCTCCAACCCTACAAATCATCGAAACCCTTTTCATCAATCAAGCTAGCCAGTAATGTTCCAAAACAGTTTTGGGGAGAAGCTGTCTTTTCGGCAACACATCTCATAAACAGAATGCCTTCTCGTATCCTTGACTTTAAAACCCCTATTTCCACACTTCAAACCTTCTTCCCAACCAGCAAGATCTTTTCTTCCGTTCCACTAAAAATATTTGGATGTTCAACTTTTGTCCACAATCTCAATCCTCACCGTAGAAACTAGATCCAAAATCCATCAAGTACATCTTTCTTGGCTACTCTCCTCACCAAAAAGGATATAGATTTTACTACCTCCAAACAAAAAAAATCTACCATACTATGGATATCACTTTCTTTGAAAATCAGCCCTATTACACCAAAGTTGTCATTCAGGGGGAGCAATCACACTTATATCCAACTAAAAGTTCAGAATACCAACTTTTGGCACTTGAGGAAACCGAACCCACACAAATAGTACCAGACCAGACCCCAATTACTCAACCCGAAACTGCACAAATGTTACCAAACCAAACCATTGATACTCAACTAGCCGAACCAGTAGCCAGCCCAGTTGAAAGGACCACCGAAGCTGCACAAATGTTACCAAACCAAACCATTGATACTCAACTAGCCGAACCAATATCCAACCCAGTTGAAAGGACCACCGAAACTGAATTAGAGATGATTAATATTTCAACTACATCTCAACAGAACCAAGGACGAAAAGCACAAGAGGGTATTTGGAAGAACAAGACTTATGAAAGGAGAAGGAAGGAAGTAGAGTCAAGCACAACTCCAATGCAAAACCATGAGTCCAACCAGGCTCTTGAAAATGAAGTTCCCACGGGTAATATGATCCCTAACCCTAAACATGTTGGTATAAATGCAACAATTAGTGATATTCCTATTGCAATAAGAAAAGGGGTGAGAGCTTGCACTCATCACCCTATTGAGAGATTTGTCTCCTATGGAAAATTGTCACCAAGTTACAGGTCCTTTGTAGCAGCGGTTGACAACATTGAAATTCCAAAGAATATTCATGAAACACTGCGAAAACCTGAATGGGCAGCCGCTGTAACAGAAGAAGTTCAAGCGCTTGTAAAAAGTGACACATGGGAAATCACATCTATACCAGAAGGGAAGAAAGCAGTTGGATGCAAGTGGATATTCTCAATTAAATACAATGCTGATGGAAGTATAAATAGGTACAAAACCCGGTTAGTTGCAAAAAGATTTACACAGTCATATGAGATGGATTATGAAGAGACATTCGCTCCCGTAGCTAAACTCAATTTTGGCCGGGTCATATTGTCTTTGGCCGCAAATCTAGATTAGCCACTACACCAACTGGATATAAATAATGCATTTCTAAACGGGGAGTTAGAAGAGGAGATATATATGCAAATACCTCCAGGACTTGAATCACCCAACACCTCAAATATGGTTTTTACAAGCTCCATAAATCCCTATATGGCCTCAAACAATCACCGAGGGCATGGTTTGACATATTGACCAAAGTTGTCAAGCAAGATGGTTTTGTTCAATGCCAAAAGACCATACTATGTTTTTCAAGCACTCGGTGGATGGTAAGATAGCTCTATTTATTGTCTATGTTGATGTCATTGTTATTACAAGGGATGATTATGATAAAATAGCACAGTTGAAGAGTTTACTAGCCAAGGAATTTGAAGTCAAGGATTTAGGTTATTAGCTCAAATACTTTCTAGGGATGGAAATTGATCGGACAAAGGATGGAATTTATGTTTCTCAAAGGAAGTACACTCTAGACTTACTTCAAGAAATTGGGATGCTTGGATGTAAAGTTGCGAACACTCCCATGGAATCAGTAAAAAGATGTGAAGAGGAGAGTGCACCAGCGGATAAAGAGAGATATCAAAGTCTAGTTGGGAAGCTAATATATCTTACTCATACCAGGCCAGACATTGGTTTTGCTGTAAGTATGGCTAGTCGGTACATGACAAACCCAACTGAGACTAACATGATTACATTTAATAGAATTCTTCAATACCTTAAAGGTACACCAGGCCGAGGACTTTATTTTCAGAAGAACTCAAACAAAGGTATTGAAGTTTATATTGATTCTAATTAGGCAGGGTGTTTATCTGACATAAAATCCACTACAGGTTATTGAACATTTGTATGGGGTAACATGGTAACTTGGAGAAGCAAGAAACAACCTGTGATGGCTAGGAGTAGTGGAGAAGCTGAATTCAGAGCTATGGCACAAGGTATTTGTGAAGGAATTTGGCTAAAGCGGATGCTTGATGAAATTAGAATTCTCACTGACTACACAATAAGGATATTATGTGACAACAAGGCTGCTATAAGCATTGCGAAAAATCCAGTCCAGCATGATAGAACAAAGCATGTGGAAATTGATAGACATTTCATAAAGGAGAAAATTGATCAGGAAATTATAAGGATTGGTCATGTTCCATCACACCAGTAGACAGCAGAGATTCTTACCAAAGCTCTTCCGAAGATCATATATGAGAATATCAGATCCAATCTAGGTATGATAGATATCTACCACTCAGATTGACGGGGAGTGTTGAAGATCAGCAAAGAATTTGTTGTGCAGATTTTGTTTTGTATATATCACTACTGCAGTTTTATGTAAATTAATTAGTTGTCTGTTTTGTTTTTATCACATTTAATCTTAGCATTTATAGGAATAATTATTTCCTAATTTCTAGGCTAAATTAGCTCATCCCTCTCAATCCTATGTACTATATATACATCTTATGTATTATCAACCAGATATGAAATATACAAACATATTTCTACACATTGTAATAAAATCCAAAGTTTTCTTCTTTATTTAGTGGATAGCTTGCAATCATGTGTTTTCATTCTAGGCTTAGCGCTTGCTATTCATTAGGGCTACCGACTGCGTCACAGTCCATTGTAGACAAAACCGTGTCTTTATTCACAAAAACACACGATTCAACATTTATGCTTTCCCTCAACGATGAAGAGTGCAGAAATCAGGTAGAATAGCACAAGTTAATCACAAAATCGTATAATTTGCAATTTCTGTTTGAGTTTCTATGATTCATGTCTGGGCACTACGACGACAGTGGCGCACACTAGGGTAACAGAAACAACCTGCTTCATGTACGACAATTGAGAAGATGACTTTTTCTCTATTTACGGGTTAAAAACATCTATTTTGATCACGGGTCAAAAAACCCTGTTTTGATCACGGGTTCATTTTTAAAAAAAGGTTTTATGGGTTAATTAAAACACGTGCCTTTATCCATATTTTTTTGCATAGCTTCTATATTAAAATATAAGCAACACTTCAGTACCTTATGCACGGGTTTTTCTCTGTCTCGACTTCTCGACTGCATCTTTGAATGACTTTATTTATTAACCTATGTTCATAATAAGTAATAACTTACTTATGTTTAAAAATTGAGTTTAATGGACATGCCCTGACAGTGTAAAATAAGTCGTCCAATAATAAATCAACAATTTCCCATGTCATTTAAATAATTTTAAAATACAAAGATGATTTTGCAAAATACATGATATTCATTGTTTGACAGTGTAAAATTGCAAATTTCCTATTTTCTCTTAAAAATAAGGTTTTAGGGGTTAATTAAAACATGTGCCTATCTTTGAATGACTTTATTCGTTAACTTATGTGTATAACTTATGTTCAAAAATAAGGTTTTAGGGGTTAATTAAAACATGTTCCTCTATTCATATTTTTTTACATAGTCTCAATATTAGAATACAAGCAATCCTTATGTACCTTCCGTGCGAGCTCTTCTATGCTTCTACCTTTCGACAGCATCTTTAAATGACTTTACTTATTAACTTATTTATGTTTATAACTTATATTTATGAATTTAAATTTATGTAAGTATTTGAAGTCTGATCTAAGGTTTTCTTTAATTTGTTTGTACTATTTTATATGAATTTAACTACCTTGGTTGAGAATCCCACAATGACTAGAAATATAGTTTAGACAACCTTTATAAGGTATGGGTAGTCTTACCCCATCAGTCTGATTTTGTGGGGTCGAGTTAGGCCTAAAGCTACAATTTTAAGATGCTAACAGAGTTTGTTATCGATATTTTACTAAGCCAAGAAATTTGCTATTCCATCCGCATTAACAAATGAAAAATGAATGTAAAACTTTAGAAGTAATTCTTAGTGCGAACTTACAAAGTAAAGATATCTTACCGGTATGCAAGATAGAGGCAAGAAGCTTGTACTTGTTCTGATCTCCGTCCCTTTGTAAAATTTTTCTCTAGTGCTATCTTCACTAGGCATACAGCAATTCAATAAATAAATAAAGGTCTTCGCATGAATGTATACTAAAAGAAGCCAACTCTAACCGCAATGAAATTCAAAAAATAACATACTGTATAAAAGGCCAAAGCTTCCTCAACTATACTATTATCTTCCACTCCAAGGCCGACACTTAGATTTGCCATAAAATCTCTAGCTGCAATTCCAGAGAAAATTGACACGTTATAAACTATATTACATTATTAAATGTAGAGGTATTTATAATACATTATTAAATGTTAAGGTATTGCCGTAGTATAGTATAACTAAATGTAATATGAATGCAGTATCTGTGTCCCCTATGTTTGTGAAATGCTTACATCACAGCCTGTTAGGTTAAGTAATTTATATCACCACAAGTCACTCTGATCTGGTTGTGACAGCATTTATAAGTAAGACCTTCTCGAAACAACAAAAAAATTGTAATGAAAAATTGAAAATCATAATAAAAAACAGAATCAGTTTCTATGATTGTGTTCAGTTTCTCTCTCTTGTCCTCTAAGAAAAGACACTATAACAACAACCAAACCTTCTAAGAATTAGTTTCTATGACTATGTTCAGTTTCTCTGTCTCGTCTCCTAAGAAAAATCACAACAACAACAACAACAACAACAACAACAACCAAGCCTTATCACAGTGGGATAATCTACATTGATCAAACTTCACCTTAATGTTTAATCAAAAAACCATGTTTTTATTACCCAACTCATTAATCTCGCGATCTTTCTTAATAGTCTCTAATAGTTTTATAGGTCTTTCTCTACGTCTAGTTGTTTGACTACCCTCCTTCTGATCTTCTCTCATTATTACGATCTTCTCTCATTATTACAATCTTCTCTCATTATTACGGAATCCGTAGATGAAGACAAATATTATATTATCATTTCTTATTTTGTATAAGCGCACTAGTAACACAATTGTTCAGAGTTCATTTTTATACCTTTACATATGTTTTCACATAATTCTCATCACCAGCTCATACTAATAATTACATTTGCTGTAATTTGTATTTTTAAAATATATTTTACTTGCTGTATCTCGGTATAAACTTCAAACATCGCAATTCACTATTACAACAAATTGAATAAAACAAATAGGTACATAAATAACAGAATTCAAAATATGAAGACTAAAACAATAACTCATTCAATAGCTATGTACAGGGAATCATAAACAAATAGGTACATAAATAACGGAATTCAAAATATGAAGACTAACACAATAACCCATTCAATAGTTATGTACAAGGAATCATAGGTCAAATGAAAACAACATTTTATATTATGCAGTAAAAAGTATTATGACAAATAAATTTAACTGCGTTCATGTTGTAAATTACTAATGATGCATAACAAGTAATACCTCTATCTAAAGTCCTTGCACGTGAGTCGGAGATTCCAACGCGAACCCCCATTACATAATTGCCTGATAATTGGCTCTATACAAAACAAACAAATAAGGAAATTAAGGGGATGCAATGATATCAACTAAAGCGATAGTATGTGAAAATAGACATAGGAAAACAAAATTGACCATTACAGACGCTAAGCTCATATTAATCTCTAGAAAACCCTAAGATTCCAATTTAATCATTCAAAACTGTCTCTTAAAATATTTAAAAAAATCTCTAGAGAGAACAAAATTTGCTACAACACTTCTATTTCCAAAATGTTCATTTTTTATTGGATGTATACATGCCCCTTGCCGATATATGGATGTTCAACCATTAATTGCTAATAGTATTAGTACACTTCATAGAAAAATTACTTCTCTAATGGAATGGAATGGAATGAAGACCTCCATACCACATCAACAATGAAATAGAAAGGTTTCCCTTCCCTTTCGAAGCAAATAGAAATGCCAAGAATTATACAACTTTTTCCCGTTATGCCCCTGATCTCAAGTAAGCTTAAGCCTTGCGATTAAAGAAAATAACCTAGAAGAGGATCTTCCCTGGAGCATGAAATTGTAGCGGCACCCTTCAAATAAATACATATATTTTGGCACCCAAGAGTTGTTGTTGGGTACTAGTATCCAGTAAACTAAATTACTTTAAAATTTAAATTTATTATAAAATAACTAAATATAAAAAATATGCTATTAAATAATTTGATGTTGAATACATACCCAACAAAACTTTAGGTACCGGAGTGTTCACCTTTTCTTTTTAATATATTGAGGAAAGAAATTCAAAATGATGAGTCAATTCCCTTTTTTATTTGATTACTTTGCCAATTCGTCTTTTGTCCCACTGTCTTTAACCTCAAATAGATAACAACAACAAAAAATTGGATCGTGCTGTTCCTCCTTTTCTTAGTCTAATTAACCTGTCACTCCCCCCTTAACATTTTGGGCAAGACCCGCCACTTGAACAACCTTTGTTTTTCAAATAGCTTAGTGGCTGGAATTCACCCTTTAAAGGTGAACAAGTGGGATGTCGCGATTTCGAACCCACGCCCCTGCACAGCTAGCAACTGAGCTGGCTTAACAGGGCCCACTTGAACAACGTTACTTCACATACTATTACATCCCTTATAATCCCCGCAAAGAAAAAAATTGGGAAAGGAAATTGGTGGAACACTAAGGTACATAGTGGAATGAAGTTATTGAATTCCATATAACTCCTTCAAATTTATAATCTCCAAAATAATGGTACCCTCATCATTCCATGGCATACCAAAAAATCAAAACAAAGCTCTAAATGTAAACTATAAATAAAATATAAGGTATGGTAAGGAGTGTGATGAAGTTCATCCAATTCTATTCCGTCCAATCTCAATAGCAATCATGCAAACAAATGTAACCTATATCATGCCTACCTTAAATCCAAACAACTCCTAAAACTTATATTTAACAATCCAATTAATAGCTTCAAAAACATCACAATCATTCATATGTATGATTTCATAAGTGATTATGATAAAATCCAAACACTTCTAATGATCTAATTGACAGTGTAAAAACCCTGGATTCATTACCTTTCCACCAGCAGTTTTCACAAAAGTTGCCTCCTGAGAAAAATAGTAATCTTCCAACACCTTCCCACAGTCCTCACAACATCTAACAACATTCAAATAACAATAAACTCATCAATAATCCTCCAATCCAACAATAATATACAAAAAGAAAAATTGAATCCAGATACAAAATAAAAAGATTTAGTAATTAGAAAAGCATAAAAGTTAACTCACAAGACACTATCGTCGATTCGCAGTCCATTAACGTTTCTCACACAGTGATCACAGTACACCATCTTGCTTCACTGTGTTACAGGCTGAATCAGCTAAATCGGAATCGATAGAATGGAGAAGAGCGAGGAAGAAGATGATTGAGTAGAAAGGGGTTTTAGGGTTTAATCAGATTTTGGAATATATAGGAAAAACCGTGCGGCGATGTAGGGAAAGTCCATGTTAGCGTGTGTGCGTCAGTTATTAATTAAACCTTGCAGTTATCGCTCCCACCAATTGTAACTAAAAAAATCGTCGCTCCTAGCATAACGGTCACAAATTTGCAGTAAAGAAATCGTGATTTAATTATAACCAGCAACAATACCCTAGCAACCACGGGTACCCGCCCGATCCATCTTGAGTGGTTAAGACTTTAGTACTCACACATATTCGTTTGTGATATAAAATATCTATCAATATAAGATATAAGAAAATAAGTATGTCGCGGAAATCTCTGTTTTGTTTTTTTTTATTTTATGAATAAGGTTAAATTTTATTTTTATTAGAGTTATTTATGTTTTTATATTATTGATCGAAAATGTGAATTATCATAGAAAAATGCATGTCAAAATTGTTTTCTATCAGACTATTTTTTTTATTTCTCGATTTTTATTGTATCGGGGCGATTATTGAAGCACGAGTTCAAAAAATTTATAAGCTACAACTTTACTTCAGACCCCGAGTTCGAACAGTGCTCTAAAGGCTTCCGTTTATGGTCCGTTTCGTAAATGGAACAGTGAAATATATTGTTGAACCGAAAGAGACAACGTCATAGCCGATTCGAAAATTCATAACTTGCTCAATTTTTATTGTATTGCGTCCGTTCTTTCAGTACCACGTCACAAATTTTGTCATCTTCGATTTTACTTCAGGGCTTGAGTCGAGATTTCACACTGATGATGATCTTGTATTTTCTTCTCGCATTGTGCATTAAATTTGCTGACACTGTCAAAACAAGACCCAATCCAAATTCAAACTCAGGGCCCAATTGGTTGAACTATATATTGATTTTCTCTTCACAAATTAAGGACACACAAATCATTTGCTAAATCTCTCAAAAACCTCTCAAAAATCTCTCTATTCTCTCAAAAATTAAATTCAACTTTTCTTCAATTTTGCTCAAGAACACACAACAATCTTCAAGCAACCTCAAGATCAAAAATCCCAAAACCTCAAATCTCCTTCCCTCTTTCTTCTCCAATTCGCGAAGACACCGCCTCCACCTCACTAGACGCCGCCTACTGCCGTCGGAAAAGCCGACTGAGGCTCCCTCCTTCCGTCGCAAACTCGTGGTTAGTACTCCCTTCGTCGCGTGGTTTTGCCGGCAACTCCTCCTTCCTCCATTTGTGCGTTTTCTTTCGATGATCTCCTTTTCATCTCTTTCAATTCATCATTTTGGTAATTGATCCTTATCCTTTTCTTAGCTTTATTCTTGAATTGGAATATTCTTGAAGTTTAGGTGTTTGTGTTAATGCTTGAGAGATATAATTATATTGAATTGAATTGAGTTGTGATTGTAACTTGATTTTTAAATTGGACATGAGTTGAATATGTGCTTAATTGAATTGTTGAGATTTTTATGACTTGATTCTTGAATTTTGGATATGATGTTGAAATCCGGAATTGGTTGAATAATTACATACTCGATGTAGATCTTGATTTTTATTCGGTAAATTGATGTTGATTTTTGAACACCGGATTTTAGATCTATGTATCGATTATGGAATTTTGATGAGATTTGAGTTGTAATTCATGAGTTAATGTGACTTTTCAAATTAATTTGTTGAAGAATTTTTTCGACATTAAAACTTCAACTCCGATAAGTTGCATTAACACTTGAATTGTGTTGTGTTTTACTTGAATTATGCAGATTTTAATTGTTGCAGAGTGTTTACAATTTTCATGTGACAATACTTGAATCGGTAGATGCTTTTGTGCATCCGTTTATGATGTTTAAATCTGATTTTGGTTAATTCTGGTTTAAGTGTGTGTTGCTACCTGAGAACTATAAATACCTTGCAAATGGCTTTTCTAAAGTTGTTTAATGCATATTCATGCTTCCTTGTGCGATTGTGGACTATTGTGATTGAATTTTACCGTTTTCAGTGTGACTTTTCGTGCGATTCATGAGTAAACGGTGTTGCTGTCTGGGATTGGTAAATTGCTCTTGCAGTGTGATTTAATTCACGGTGTATACTTTTGTGAGCTTCTTGGTAAGTTTGGTAGCTACTGGTACCGTTTTGGAGCGGTTTTATACTGACTTTTTGTGCACTCATGTTTGTGATGCGATGTTGCTTGAAGTTTACATTTATGGTTTTAATATGCATTTAATTTTTATTTCTTCATGATTTAATCATAAACTGAATTGTGTATAGGGTGCATAACTCCTATTTCGCTTCCTTGTTATTTTTAACGTGTTTGTTGACTTATGCAAGATACTTTGAAAGCTTTTGGTCGTTTAATTAATGCATTGATTATTTGATAGAAAAGCATGATATACCACTTTATTTGTGGATTTGTGGATTCGCGCTTCAACGCGATTTACTTTGATTCTCATTTCATGAGAAATATGCATTGTTTGTGTTTTTTGTCTGGATGTGAATTTGTGTTTAGGTGTTATGTCTATTGCGGATGTGTCTGACACGCATTCCCATTGTAATTTATTGATCGATGCATGTTCTGACTATTATATTGTTGATGCTAGCTTGCGCGAAGTTTTCCGGAGTATTTCTGGTTTTGCTTGCTTGCTACGAACTCTTGTTCGTTTGGTATTACACTGATACTGATCTATGTTTCCGCCTCATTTACCACTTTCCTTGCCATGAGAAGTAGGATAGAGATGCATGTTCTGGGAGTCCCTTTGAGGTGAATTTGATTTATTTAAAGATTTGTTTAAGGCAATTCTACTTGTGCTTGTTTGTTTACCATTTTGTGTGTTTACATTTGTGCCAAATACCTCGATGAAGGCGTCCTATTCTCATTCCTCATTGATAAGTCCTTAGAGAAGGCGAGTGGAAAAGGGTCCGCAATCGACCCCCATACATTCTAGCCCGTGTCATTCCTAGCTCACATTATATGTTGATGATATGAACCGTGCCGCTCATGTTATCAAGTCGGTCAGATGAAAAATAGATTCATAATTAATCCCTCACACTTTGTCTTCAACTCGCATTTGTGAAACGTTGATGCTTTGATGTTATCTCATTATTTCCTTCTATCTTCTACCTCAAGTTTTGATATCTTGGTCAGGTGTTTAGTCGCTTATGACGGTTCACTTCCACTCTTCTCTTACCTCAATTATTTGATATCTTGGTTGAGAGTTAACACTCTTTTCTTTCTTGCCCTAATGTTTTGATATCACGGTTAAGAACTAATATTCCCCCCATTTCGCTTGTCTCGACGATTTGATGTCTTGGCTAAGCATTCCTTCATCCAACCTTGATGATTTGATATCATGGTCTGGTACCCCACTCCCTTTATCCTACCCCGATGATATGATATCGTGGTTAGGCATCCCTCTCATTATTCTATCTTGGTGCCATACTACCTCGATTAGGTGTGTGTTACTTGAGTTAGTGGATACTCCTCAAGCTTTGTTTGTTTGTTTTGGTTTCAAATTTGTGTGATCGCACTTGTGTGCGTGTTTCTTTAGGTTGAAACCTTTGTATGCTTCCTTAGAATTCACTTGTGTCATTTCTGATGCAAGTTAGACATTAGGATTGTAATCCATGCATGCTAACATAGGTAGAGATTTCCCTTTCAAACCTAAACTTTAGGACCATCATTATATGATAACACTAGGGATAAAAATAGGTTAGTCCCCTTTAGACTTTTTCTCTTCCCTTTTTGCATAACTAAAACTAAAACTCTTTTTCTTTAGCAAATTCATAAAATGATCTAACCATACTTAAATTTTTTCTCGATATAAAAAAATACTAATTAATCCAATTTTTTTTACCTTTGGGCCTCTTTTCTTTGAAAACCTTTTTCATATAAGAATGTGTCGGTTCCTTTCTACCATAACGCGTGAGTCTCCAAAGGTCGAGCTGCGATAGAATGCGATATTGACATTGTTCATAAAAAATATACAACACATCGAAATATTTGAGATGAACTACGAGTATCTTGATTTCTCATTGCACGAAGAGTGTACGTAGGCACAAAGGTTCACAATCGTGGCAAGCACGACTAATAAATACTTTTTTTGTATATCCACCTTGAATACATGCATTTTCCCTTTAGCTTGATTAGCATTTAGATAGAATACACCCTTTAGATTAGAACAACAAGAGTGGATCCTGTGGAGTACCACAAATGTGAGGGGTGATAATACCTTCCCCTTGCGTAATCGACTCCCATACCCGACCTCTCGGTCGTAAGATCGTGACTTCTCCCTTCAGGTTTTTCTTCGATGATTTTCCTTTCCTGTGGGATAAATAAATACTCGATGGAGACTTCATTGGTTTTATCTTGATGGTTTTCCGCCAGTTCCTTCAGTACTGCAGTGGAGTTCATTCAAAATGCTGGAAATTAGATGTTAAACAAAGATGTCCCACCATCTTTACTAAAGATTGACTCCATGTTGTTGTGTTGCTGTGATCAATAGTTTCTGAGGACTAATGTTGGTGGGTGTTTTTGTTTATTATTGTAATTTAGTTGTAATTTTTATTTATTTATTTTAGCCAAAATTTGCCAAAGAGAGAGATTGTAAGTTCTCTAGTTTTAAGGATTGACATTAATTTTTGTAAAGCAAATAATACAGCAATATGTTAGATAGGATGTATTAACTTGCTAACAGGAATATGTTGAGCAAGAAGTCATATCTTATGTTAGGACATGTTGAGTTGAAGAGTTTCAACATCGGGAACAACATGTCGAATAAGATGACCTATGAAAGAGCATTTAATATCGCGCCTGAGCTGAAGTGGACAATTAGATTCTGTTATGATTTAACTGATGCAAAATATTTTGGGAAATATTATGCAACATTATAGGGTGCGAATTTAAAGGTCAAGAAGAATCAATC